TTGTTAAGAAATGGAACTGAATCACCTTTTTTTTTTTTTTTCCTTTTTCCTTGAGAACTCTGAACTGATAATGAGACCTGGCACTGAGCTCTGGTCAGTGTCATTTATGCTGTAATTGGCCTAAGGGTGTAAAGGTCAGCCATGCATCAGAGGAGACAGAGAACTAAGTGGCTTACAATGACAGCAGTGGAGGAACAAAATTTATTGTAGGTGGAGAGCTTGCACAAATCACCAAATGAGGAGAGTTCATGAGCCGAATTATGATCCTCAAAGCCGGAGATTATCGCGCAAATGAATAAATACATGCACAAATGAAGGCAGTGATTAATTCATGTCATACCATCAAAATTCTATTTTACAAGGGACACACTAAATTCTACAACACACCTAAAGCATTCGGCAGTCACATTCAAAAGAAACATAATAAATTCACCACAATCAAAGTAACGCACGCAGAGAATAGCAATCGCGCGCAATAACTGACGATATAAAACACACAACGTATGCAGCATATTTTCCTACTTGTTCATTTTTTATTTAAATGATACTCGAATGCAATAGGAAAAAAAGAATCCAAATTGCAGTTTCCTGGTAAGTTTTCTGCAACAATTAAATGATCTGATCTGTAAACAGTAAAGTCAAATTCAAAATGCAACTAAAGATACCTTATTTAAGTATTACTGAAATCTTATTCTGACTTGACTTTAGAGAAGAGAAACATTTATTTTTTTCCATATTCCATTTATTAAGCTTATACACGAACAACAAAATGTGTTTGTGAGGTTTTAATACGAAAGAAAATGATAGAAAAATACCAAAAAATCATCTGATTTACATTTTTTAATACCCTGTTTACAAACATGGATTCCAGGTGTAACAGAGAAATCCGTCTCCTGAACTCAGCGTCAGGTATTTGCTGAACCACTAACCACTGATAAACAAAATTTCTCATCAAGCCAAAAAAAAAATATTGATGTTTTCTTTTCAAGATGCATATTTCTTCACACCCTGTTTTCTGATTGTGAATATAATCTGGCCTAGTGTTTGTGTCCCACATGAGCAGCTTCTCACTCAGTCTCCCATCGCTCATATTCATTCATTTATTCCACTGTGGACTCTTACAAACAGCTAAACATGCTTGTTTGAAGCAATGGAATACAAGAAATATCTTATAGACCTTCGTAAACCTGAAATCTGCATAAAACACCTCCATGGTATGAACAAGTTCGTAGCAGCATTGTAGTTGTTTTAAATGGTTGAATCCGGGGTCACGGGAATGATTGAGGTTACAGGGAGGATGGTGTTGTGTTGTTTACACTGATATCATAGCTCATTAGAGAAATAACCACAGTCTCAATTGATCTATGTGACCACCAGCTCAAGTGGTTCAGGCTGAATTTGTGAGTCATTGATTTCTATGGCTTATTAAAGGCATGAGTATCTTACTATACGGAGAGACGTGCAAGCAGGATTACCAGGAAATAGAAGTATTGATTGGGTCAAGAAGCTGAGGCTTACATTTCAAATTCCAAAAGGGAGACAGGATTTGACATAAGAACAGTGTTGACTGAAAAATATGGGAAAATATTCTGATGAGTCACAACTGCCTTGGCTTTAAAAAAAAAAAAGAAAAGAAAGAAAGATGGTAATGTTGAGATCTGGATACTACAATTTATTTACACTCAATAATACAAGTGATTACACTTCCAGATAAATGCTGTTATTTATATTATGCTATTGAATTGTTGTTGACATGTAGGTGTTTTAATGCTGTAGCTGGTTGAGGTTGAACTCTTATTGTTGGGTTGTTTATGCTATAAAAAAAAAAAAAAGAACAGTGTTTCATGTGTTTTAAATCTTCCATTCTAGACTTTTATTAGCGAGCGCTGTTGCAGATCTGGACCCTTATGCAGCCTCCTTTCAACACATTCATTTTTGCATCTGTACAAATCACTAACCTGTAGCGGTTAATGTTAGGATGATTAGAGTGAGTAGAGTTTATTATGTATATAAAAAAGTCTGCACGATGAATCTCAGCGTATTTCGGCCCTCTTCATCGTGTAATTTGCTTTTATCCTCTTGGCATAAAACAAAGATGGATCTAAGTCCGACACCTTCACTTTGTTAAAGCCTCTCAGCCATCTTGATCTGTTTTATTATGATTGTAAACGTTACTGCTGTGAATAAACTTGCAGCAGCATCACATAAATCTAATAAAGCAGACTCACTTATTATTTAGCATCACCACTCCATCAGTTTAGTTGGAGAATGATAGCAGCTGCTTATCCCATGTCCTCAGGTTAACACTGGGGCTGCATTTTTGTATATAAATGGAGTTTTTAAAATCTATCATGCTGCTTTTTTTTTTCTCTTGTTGGAAACTAATTTATCTCAATCTTTTAAATATATCTTCAAATAAAACATCCATCCATCCATTATCTATACACC